AGCTAACTTTACCTGCATCCAACAGCTTTACTCAACTCAGTCGGTTAGTTTGTGAACTTTTCACAGTTTTTTCACAGTGTAGCTCTGCAGAGCTATGCAGGTGTGTGATTCTAACACACACCTGCGTAGCTCTGCAGAGCAGCAGCAGGTCTCCTTCACAGGTGGAAACCCAGCGCGAGCGTCGTAGTGCTCATGTTGCGTTTAAAGGCGGCTCGGAAAAACAGGTTACAACATGTTAACGGATTAAACAACGGATTTAACTGCTGATAAAAGTGACAGAGGACACAGATATGGGAAGTGTGGAAGCCTCTACTGCATCAAATTGGCATAGGAATAACGGAGAGTTGGCCATTCTAAGGTAAAAACCCAGCGCATACAGCGTTCATGTTTTTTTTCATCCAGACGGCTTCCTGCGCTCCCCCTGCAATAGCACGGCGCCCTCACTAGGGGGCGCGCTCCACAGTTTGGGAACCTCTGCCTTAACTACAGATTTAAGCCAGACAAACACTCCAATTAATGAGATTAAAAAGGCAACACTTTTTTTTTTAAAGCACAAGAAATTAGCATGTTTTGGGATGTTTTGTCACTTCTCCCTGTTCCCATGACATCAACTGAGGAAGCAGCTGCTGAACACTGGTTTCACATAGACTCCACGCAGCTGAAGCCAGGGACAACGAGCATGTTTGAATATAAAAACAGAAGAAAACCTGAAAGTTTCACTTCATGATTGTCCCATTATTAGCAAGGCTAAGCCTACTTTCTGCAGCTACGCAGTAAAACACTATTATTAGAAGTTGCCATGTTCCAGAACATCTCCAGAACATTCAGTATTGCTAAGACATGTGACAACTATGGTTTCTTGAATGGTTTTTCTCCCAAGAGGCCAACATCCCAGGATTTTTTTTTTTTTTGTCTACCATTTCTGGAGTGTATTTACACAGTGGGCTCTAAAACCAGTCTGTTTACATGGAGTAAACCCCCTTGTGCTGAGTGGCAGATCTTCCTTCTGTGTTGATCTAGGAACAGATTTCCTCCCTCCATAACAGCAGAATGTGAATGAAATCCCTGCCATCCCACCACGATGCTCCACTTTTAGTTCAGAATCAAACAAAGCAACATTCCAAGTGTGCTGATGATGAAGAAATAACATTATAGCATGGCGTAAAGCTCAAAAAAGTTGATTTTTACATGACACTGCCTATTTGAGAGTGTACATTTCACAAACCCACACACACACACACACAAAAAAAAAAAAAAAAAAAAACCCTTTTAACCCCCGCTGCACGGCTCCCAAACACACCCAAACACCCGC